CATGCAATAAATGTCAGATGTAAACGTACCTTAAGGGATACAGGAGGGTATAATATCCGCTGTTGTCATGCCTATTTCATTATTCTCGTTTTGTTTACAAAATTATTTACATATCTTAAAAAAGCTAAAATAATATTCAACCTATTTTATTGCAACTGAATCCAAAAAAAATTGAATCATTACTTATATCAAATTAAACTAAATTAGATGTAATTTCACTAAATCAGATGTAATAATTTTCAATAAATTCCAAAACCTAGTTAATGTTAAGTTGGATGTGGCAACAAGGCTTACACGTTGTTTATTATAAACCTGGCTTACATAATACACACATCTCCAAAAGTGTTGGCCCCTCTTGGTAACTTTTACCGCGGTCAATTTAAGGTGACTATTTTTTGTTTATATATTCTTCATTATCTTATCATACATAAACACATGTTGTAAGCAAAAAACTGTTTTCGTCCGAGAATATGCACTATTTGAAAGGAAATCTCAGTTATAAGTTGAGATCGAGTATTAAAGTATCAAGTAAATTTGTCATAAAATGCCAGGTCATCCGATTTCTCAATTTGTCCGGGCAAGAATAGTGGCCTTACATTAAGAGGATTTGTCAAATCATAAGATTGCGGATCATCTGAATATTTTACGGACTTCGGTAAGGAGCATAGTGGCCTTTTTCCAAAAAACGGACAGTGTTGTGCGAAGGACGGTGACTGGTTGACACAGAGTGACATCAGAGAGACCAGTATATGGCAAATTTTAAGTATAACGGTAACAGCCCTTCGAAGTAATTTTTTGCGAAAGTACCTAGGGTAGTTTCGAGAAGTACCATAAGAAAAAGATTTCATTCCTCAAATCCAAGGACAAAACCTTTAAGAGTGCTTAGGCAGTACCCCACACAGAGCTGCACGTCGCCAATGGGCACAATGGTGCAACGTCCCTGTTTAGGACGAATCAGGGTTTGTCCTACAGAGTGATAGCCGGCGAGAAAGGGTCTGGAGGGGTCCAGGCAGACAGGGACGACTTACTTTTGTAAGAGTTGTTATTCCCTATCAAGGCGGATCAGTGATGTTTTGGGAGGTATAATATTTGGTCACCGTACAACACTTATTTTGATTGAGAGAACTATGACAGGTATCATATACGCTGGAAACATTATTCAACCAATCATTCAGCCTTTCCGCTACGAATTTGGAAACAGTTTTATTTTTCAAGTTGAAAATGCCAGACCGTATCGCAAGCAAAGGATACAAAACATGCTGCAGGAAGGAAATATCCACATAATTAACTGGTCGCCAAACTTACCAGACATGAATCCCAATGAGCATATATGATCTTGGCAGAGCAATATCCAATCGAGAAACCCCCCTTTCAACCCTTTAGGACTTGACTGTAGCCGTTCAAGAAGATTGGGACAATATGTCTGATCATTTTATTAATAACCGGATCTGCGGGATGCCACGATGCGTTGACCAATTGATTAAAAGGTGGGGCGATAATACAGACTATTAAATTATGTTTTTGTTACGATATAACATTTTTTCACAAAAATTAAAATTTTCTTACTTACAATTTTTTGACATTTTTTTGTAATGTGCTTTATTCTGCATTATTCGGAAAGCAAATTATGAAGGTTGTGTATCACATAGTTTGGTATTAACATAAAGAACAAATTTCACTATATTTTTAAAATTCAATTTGATTATTGTTAAAATTACCTTGGGGGCCAAAACGTTTGGAGATGTGTGTATATTCACTGATAAAAACAATTGTATCGCCATAAAATCTTTCTCTTTATTCCCTCTCTTACGTCTCACTACACGTCTCTTCACTCCGGACATATCACTGGAGTGTATTGACTGTAGAATTAATGTTGGCATCATGAACATTATATTTTATCAATGAACGGCTACTTCTCCTGTTATCTCTGATATTACAGTACAAAAGTGTGTTCAGAGCATGATTTGTACCGTAATAAAGTAATTTTCACGTATGTTGCAACATACCTTTTAAATTTCCTTATCGGAACGTAAATTCTTCTCATTTAAGTTCTGTACTTCCCACGATTCGTAAGAGTAACTTACTCGACATTGACAGACATTTAAAAAGTGAGTTATAAAGGCTAGTACGAGGGCTGTCTTTTAAGTTTTGCATATAGACCTAGAATAAAATAGCAGATAATGTTTAAACATTTTATAGTTCTTCAGTATTCTGCACGAAGATTAATGCACTTTTGCAAGCGCTTGAACCAGCTCTGAAAGCAGATATTCCACTCCTGGGATGTCACAGCTCCAATGGCTGTTTTGAATGCCTCAGCTGCATCTTCTGGTGACTGGAACCGTTCCCCACGCAGTGCGTTCTTGATTTTCGGAAAGGAAAAAAAAATCGTTGGGACTTAGATCGGGACTGTAAGGAGGGTGCTCTAAGAAGGCAATTGTTTTGCGAGCTGTGTACGCACTTGCATTGTCTTGATGGAGGATGATTCGTCGTTTGGGGTTGGTTTCCCGAAGCTCAGGGCTGACTAGAGGGGGGCAGCCGGGACTAATTCCCGGGGCCCGGACTCAAATGGGGGCCCGGCAGCGGTATAAGGGTGGCCCGGCAACCGTGTCGAGGACTTTTGTTTTCTTTCAGAAGTTCGGCACAAGACAAGAGGGGAAAGTTTTTGGTTGGGACTTTTTTTTTAGAAACTTCAATTCGAGTAGAGGAGGAAAACTTTTTCCTTGAAGAGCTTTCTTTTAGAAAATTTTTAATACAAGTAGAGGAGGTAAAGTTTTTGTTTGAAGAGCTTTTTTTTTAGAGAAATTTCAAGCAAAGAGGAGAGACTATTTTTTATAAAATTGTCACGGGGCCCGATCTAGAGAATTGTCCTGGGACCCGGCCCGGCCTGGCAACTTAGCGATGACTGCTGGCAAACAAATATACGTTATATACCAATCGGCAGTAATAGTTCTTTGCTCTTGCAGAGGAATTGTTGCAACATGCTTTGGAGACAAACGTTGCGACCCTCTTTTTAGACACACTTCGAGAACGGATCACTTTTGTCGGCTTGTCTTCACTTTGGAAAACCCAAACAGACGATTGACGTTTATTTACAGGTTCATATGAGTAAATCCATGATTCATCACCACTTGCGGTGCAGTACACGTTGAAGCGCTCCAAAGTTTTTTGACACCAATTTACCCTAGCTTCTTTTTGTTCTTCGGTCAACAGATGCGGTATCTAACGGGACACTACTTTTTTTACTCCCAATTCTTCAGGCAAAATCTTCTGTATTGAGATCTTTGAAATCCCTAACGATGCTTCAATCTCGTGATATGTCACATGCCGATCTTCCTCGATGAGCCTGTGCACAGCATCAATGATTTCCTGGGTGACTACCGATTTAGATGCACCTGTTCTTGGCTCGTCACTAAGATTAACCCGTCCTTGTGTAAATTCAACATACCAACGAGAAATTGTCGATTGATGTGGTGCATCACTACCGAAAACAGAAACCAACTCGGCCAGGCATTCTTGTTGGGATAATTGTAAAAAATTATGGCACGAAAATGTTCTTGGTTTAAATCCATTTCTTGAATAACTTGTCAACTTTGAAAATTCGGTGTAACTACAACACTCTATGAATCGGACTGAAACTTGGAAGTGAGGTTAACTAAAGACGAGTTTATTTTTATTAGAGCCATTTGATTCGTAACGCCCTCTAATGCACGGTATGCAAAACATAAAAGACAGTCCTCGTAGTACGAAAAAAGTTACCTAAACTGAAAATTAATATTCATTTCGTTAGCGCTTTTCTCAAAATTAATTATATAATTCGAACGAATGCAAGTTTCAAAACAAAAATTGTTGTTTCCAGTATCTATTTTCGTCGAGGAAACGTAAATACCAATTAAAACGGGACGTTTAAAGGGACCATAACGTATCTATATCAGCATCCAGCTCGAATCCATTAAATTTTCCAACGTTTTTTTCATAGATAAAAATAGATCGACCATGTTAACATTAAAAATTAATATATCGTGAACGAAGTAAAGACTGAAAATACCATTAAAAATCATCGACAGTGATAATAAAAGTGTTAATCGATTTAAAATGTTTATCGAACTTTGAAATGTTGTGGAAACTTTTCCGAATGCAGCCAGTCGTGATTTTACAAAAGCGTGGAATACATCTTGATTTTTCGAAGAGATTGTAAAAATTATGCCAGCAATGACAACGCATGGGGGTGTACTTTACTATGTTGTCAAAGTTCCTAAAGAAAATGGACACAGGTAATTTTCATACATCGCAACTTTTTTTTAAATTTAATTTATTGTATAATAGGTACACTATTTTTCTACGATTAGTTATAAATAACAAGTTGAAGTAAATATTTTGTTTATAGTTTTAAGTTTACCACTTTTGCATTAAAAATTTTCGGTGTTATTTGATGTACTATTTACTGTTGTAGTAATAAAAAACTATTATTTTTATAATTTTGACACATAAAGTGGCATTTTTTGTAATCAAATTGATATACTTTACGCCACCAGTTGCATAATGTTGAACATTATGAAAACTAAGCGTACCTCAATCAATATAGAATATAAATAATCGATTATTTAAAATAATCGATTAACCAAAAATAATCAATTACTGGATATATTCGATATAATCGATTAATCTAAAATGATCGATTGATGAAAAATAATCGATTAATTGAAAATAATCGATTTTTGACGTTATCGATGACCTGCATTGGATTTTATATTTAATCCAGTATATTTGTAATCTGTAGTTCAAAACTGGTAAACTTGAGACTGCCAGAAGTTTATCTTGAAATAAATAAATTCAATGTAAAATAATTTTCTAAATAAAGCTTTACCGCATATACTGCATATTTTTTTACATTTCTGAGAAGGCACTGTTCTTCATAATAAAATGCCAATGAAGGCGAAGATATATTTTAATTGACACTCCACATTTTCTACTGGTAACTAATTTTCTTTCTTCTTTTCCAGTACGGACAGCGGCTGGGACAACCCCTTCCGACCGGGCGGCGATCTGAGCCGAGAAGCCGACGAAATCGTAGAACTAATCAAAGGCGGCAAACCGATCACGCCCACGCCCGGCCAGCAGCCTCCTCTCCCCGCCGTCGACGCGGCCGGTCACGCCCACGCCAACAGCATCCAGGAGCCGATCACCGAGTCGCCCAAGAAAACCACGCCCCTGCAGTCGGCGGCGACGCCCAGGAGCGCGAACGGCACCGCCCCCAAGGGCAATAGTCCCGCCCCCGGTACCGTCGAAGTGCAGCGAGTGACTGTTAAACCGGACGGGGATGGTACCCAAGTCGAACACGTAACGATCAAAAAGAAACCGAAGTGCGAGTGTTGTGTCATACAATAATAATTTTGGAAATAAAACAAAAAAAATATATAAGGAAAAAAGTAATTTCGGACACTAGGATAGTTTTTGTTACTGTTGTATCTTATTCTGAGACGGATGGTGGTGTGAGAGGATCGATTTCGAGGTTAGGGGATACCGCGGTATCTGTGATAAGATAGCTGGGATATTGAAGGCAGTTCGTTTGTGATATATACATAATATATATGCGTTATTTTAGAATTTGTGCTAAAACCGTCATGAAACTCACCGAAATCCATGCTTGACCAACATTTAAAATTATTTTTATCCTGCAATTAGGATGTCATTAATGTCATATTTGCAGTCATACCTATTTGTACATTAGGTATTTAGTTTTAATGTAATAGCTGCATTTATATCACTGTAAATTGCATTATTGATTATGTATCTCAGCATAATGCTATAATAAAATGTTCACGTTGGGCGCCATTTGCTATGATAATTAAAATTTCTTCATGAGGTAAATCTTATTTATAATATGTACAGACTAATCGTTTCAATGCATTGTAAAACCCATATTCCGAATAAGTATATAGTTTTAGTTTATTGACATTTTTTAAGTTATGCAATAGTTAAATTCTTCTTTTTTGTGACCTGGGCTGTTGAGGTTATTCATTACTATAAACATCTTATTAATTTATTTTCTTTTCAAACACAATTATTATTAATTTATTATTATAGATATTTTGACTTTCCAGGATTAGATTTTTAATCAAATTAAAATTATAATCGATCCAAATTATATTATGTTCTTTTCTCATAAAATTGTACTAAGTTCTTCCCAAACCGAACAAAACACTTTTCTTCTAGTTTATATGGCCTCTTGCCTAGAAAGGTATGTAACCAACAGCTCAAATAGTTGGTGGACAGCTATTGTAATATTATGACGATTATTTTTATCTCTATACGACTATAGTATTCTATTTTTATTTTATAAACATTGTTGGTCATAGCATGAATTATTAAAGTTTCTTAAATTCAGCTAGATACTATCTAGTAATATACTTTTGTGAAACATTTCAAACACGACTTAAAGAAGCACCACTAAACAATTTACCTACTAATCTTCGGCACTAAGAGAGGTTTTTGTAACAACTCGTTTTTTTAGATACATTTTTTGATAAAAAGAAGCTACTTAGTGCATATTTATCGATGCCACGGATATAGACAGTCAATGTTAGTTTTAATAAGCTTCATGCATCCTTGTAAATCAGGGTAATTCGAAGTAATCCCAATTTAATTTTACTATGACATAGAAATTACTAGATGGCAGGACCATCTATAGTAATGATTACTTTTCAAAATAAACCATTTCGATAGAAGATATCTATGGTTATCACTCTAGAAACGTTTGCAAACATGAAATAATCATGAGTTAGATTGTCTAAACACTGTGATCATATATTAATGCCTATAAAATACTCATATAAGTCACATGCCAAACTGTAGCTCAGAAAATTTAATAAAATGTAATTTCTGTCATTCAAAGACATTATTAAATTTGTATTTTGTGAAATTATGTTTGACTACTACACATGTAAGAATTTTAAGTAGGGGAGAGTGAGGTAAAATGGTCCCTTTAACAATTTTTTAGGCTAAATATACCAAAACAATGGAATATTTAGGTTTAATCAAACACTAAAACAAACATACCGGAACATAGTTCTCTGAAAACATAATTCCTAATGATAAAAATAATTTAATTCTTAAAAAGCTCTACAGGGACCACTTTAAACCATGCTCAGGGTAAAATGACCCTCCTCATGGGGTGAAATGCATATTTTTTGCCAAGCAAAAATAAAAAAGATAAATTTTATTTGCAAAAATCGCAAATATACACTCTCTGCTTTCATGTAACACCCGCGCACAATGAATGAGACCATTTTTTGCACAAATAGCACATAATCCAAACCTTCTTTACCTGCGATTTACTGAATATTTCCAAGCAAAATATACAGGCGGCATCGTATTCATCAAAACTTGCTCCTTGAAAAGGTCGTGAACTCCTCGTCTGAGGAGGTGCCTGAGGTAGTGGAGATATATCAAATGAGGTTACTAAGGTATATTCCAACGAAGATGGAATTTCATGTCTTGTATCGCCAACTTTCGGTTTGGAAGTGTTAACTTTGGAATTTGGGTTTGAAGTACCGGCTGCAAGGCTTATACTATCAACTTCCAGGTTTGACGCTACAGTGCTAAAAGTTTCATTTTCTGCTGAGTCCCCTGCATTGTTATCAAAAAGACTGACTTCATCTGAAGATTGTCCACTTGTCTCCCATTCCTCTAACTCATCTGATGAAGATATATCACGAATTTTTCTTTTCCTTGTAGGTAAAATTATTGCAGACGTACTTGGGAGTGAAAATGTACCTCTTTGTGGAGAAGGAGTTCTTTGTTCACGGGCGTGAACACCAGTTTCCTTTTCCACTAGAGGGATCTGTTGTGCAAGATGGTTTAAATTTCCAATCTGGGAATATATTTGGATTAAAGGGATATATGCCTGTTTTCTCAAATCCACTGAGTTCATTGTTAAGTGTGGCAGGTCTTCTATATGCTTTCCTAAACAAGCTAGCAATGTTATACAGCGTCATCACTTTTCCAGGGTTCGTTTTAAGCCATATAATAACTTCTTCATTAAAATATGCCATTGGAGGTGAAAATACTGCCACATCCAAAGGCTGCATCTCGTGTGTGCAGTGTGGAGGAAACGAAATCATTATAATGCCACTTTCTCTACAATATTCTATAGCTTGGACAGACTTGTGGCTTGAATGTCCGTCAAGCAACAAAAGGACCTTATTTTCAACTGAACACTGGGTATGTTGTTGAAAATGCCTCCAGAACAAAATAAAAGTGTCATATTTCATGTACCCAGATTCATGGTAAAGACAAAATGTTCCATATGGAACACCTTGATAATAATTGATTCCTTCTTTTGCGGGGGAATATTATTGCTGGAGGAATAAATTGATAAGCATCGTTTACACTAACATTTTGCCCTCTTTCAGCACTTGTTAGGAAACCGACCTGTTTTCCCCCTTGATGTGCTAAAATTTTGGGCAGCTTACTAGAGACCGTCTGAATACCTGACTCATCCATATTGTACATTCTCATTGGAGTGATGTCATTTTTACTTGTAATTTCACCTAAAAGAGAAAAATACTTTGCGACTGCTTCTTTATTAAAGTCTCTCGCTCTGGCAGCTGAGGTGGCCTCAGGAGTTCTAAAAGAAACCTTTGGGTGTATCTTTAGAAACTCTCTGAACCAAGTACTCGGCTTCCCGTACATGCCGGTGTCAGGCCGAGCGAATGCCGACTATTTGTGGTTTACTGGGGTATTAGGGGACCATTTTAGCTGACTTTCCCCTACTTGATAAGAGACCAACTGTAAATTGAACAAGTTCTATAACAATAGTGCAGAAACTTTGCTCTTCATGTTTAGTTCTTGAGAAGTATCTGCTTCTTTTTCTTCCAATGGATATACAGAAATGTAACTCTTATCTGGTTTTCCTTTGTATTACTTTCACTTTAGTTTTATATCTAGTTCATGCCTAAGTATTTTGCCGAATCAGTAGTATTGTTTCTACTGATCTTTTATTAAACTGTTTTACTTTCGGTGAGCTTAATCTTTTTGTCCACACATAGTTTTTATTAATAGTCTCTTCTCTATGCAATCTCTTGTCTATGCCGTCGGCAAATGTGACTATTTTAACATTGTGCGATTGTGGTTTCTAAGAGATAAATAACAGGTAAAGAACTGGCCTCAGGACACTTCCTTGAGGTCCTCTGCTTTAATTTCTTTGAACTACTTTCATTAAGAGTGGAATATTCTTATTGCCTACTTCAAATTATTAACACTTGCAATATTTCATAAAAACATGAGGATGAGTAAGTTTTCTTCAAATAAAATAGATCTTAGATCTTCCATGTTTCTAATGAGTCAGTAGAATGTTTTGTTGGCAACTGACAGTGCATTGTAATATGTGCTGTATCTATTTTATTTGTAACATTCTATTGAGATCCCTCATGCAAAATGGTTATAATATTATTGTGATTTGACATTATTATTATTATATCTATCGATTTGCACTCACATGTACTTCATATAATGCAGATACTGATGCAAATGAAGTGGGCAAATATCAAATATGTTATCAAACATTTCTAGTTGTGGAATAATAAAAATAAACTGGGAATACTTTTTAAATACCTTATTATATATTTTTTATTTACAGACTAAACTTATTATTATAAATAATCGATAAGGCCTTGCTGGTTTAAACTTTTGCTTAAATATAACTAAGTAGAAATACTTCAAATTCCGAATAAATATCGATAATATAAAAATTTAATTTCAGTTAAGTTCCATGTAAATATCGAAACAAGAGAGAGAAATTATATTAATGGTATGTTAGAAAAAAATTATTGTACATATGATTTTTTATTTGCGATATTTTTTGTATAACAACCAAGTAATTAAACCAACAAAAAAAAAGATAGCTACATTAAGTACAAACGTAATATCAAATTCTATGGAATCTATATTTTTTATATAGGACGTTATTTTATCACAGATATTTGCTAAGTGATATTAAATGAAGTGATTATATCGATCTTTGTTTCACACCGATAAACTTGATATACCGGGTGTTCCTCAATATACTTTCGGTACACCCGTGGATTCAGACTGAGTAAAAAAATGAAAGTGTTATAAAATTATGTAAGATATACAAATTGTTAAAGAAAAAGGATCAGATTATTTACATTTTTGTAGAAATATAAGTATAATAGTATAAGAACTGTTAATTTCTGGCTTCAAACAATAAATCCGCATATTTACAACTATAAAAATGTAAATAATGTTTATACCGATGATGATTTGAAATTGATTGAACAATGTACCTATGCATTAAGAGAAAATATAAATCTAAAAAAAATTGTGTTCTACATAACGCTTTTTCCTAAAATAAATAGGCAATTCGGCATCTATAAAATTTTATTTTGGAACTGTGTATAGGTTGTTATTTTTTATTTATTTTAACATAAAATAAAATTGATAAAAATGAAAAAAGTAACTAGTCTTAATCAGCGTTGCTATTATCTATACAAAATAATCATTTTTAAAATATTTATCGAATATTTTGAATAATGATAATATTTGTAGTTTTTTTTTTATATATATATTTTTAGGTATTTCTAAGGTATCTATAAATTAAATAAAGTATATACAAGCGTATCATATTGTTTTATTTATTAATATATTTTATTATATTTATGTACAATTCCAAAATAAATACAATGTTTAGTAGTAAATGTTTATCGTTCAATTTGTTTAATGTTTACAATAAAATAACTTAAAATCAAAAGAAAATTTACCAACTCATTATATACATATACGCCCCTAACTTAATTTACTACTAAATACTTAATAAAATAGCTACTTCAAAATCTAAGCTATATACCTATCTTAACACCGAATCAAGTGTTATTACTATCTTATATTATATATCTTATACATAAAAACACTTTTTATTAATTAGAAACATGTTGCAGTAAAATTTAAAACATTGAAAATAAAACGAATGTTTTAAGAATTACTGGAAATATTCAAAGTTCAGCTCTACCACACAGAGTGTTTTTACTATCACTTAAAATCAATTCACATCGATTTTCGGAAATTTATTTCAATGCCCAAGAATAGAATAATGGCAAACAGTTTTAAATGACCTTTTATTCTTATATTTCTGAAGACCATAAGTGGTCACTACTTATTGTGTCATACACAGTATATAAAATTATCTAATTTGGCCTATTTTGATTAATTGGACAATATCTGAACATTGAAAGACCCTCCATTGTCGTCTATTGCTCTATATAGAGCATTCTCTTTAATTACATTTATAACATCACAGCCTAGAGTTTTCTCAGGCCTTTTGATTAGTGTAACTTGAGAGATACAATCTAAAATTTGACATATATCAAAATTGACAATCGATTACTACTACATCTAATAATAATTAATATCAACACATTGCCATACAACAATATTAACTCCGTAATCTTGTAATTGACTTTCTAGAGTCACTATTGTTCAACAAGCCGATCAGTTCCTAAATGAAGAAGTCCATCAACTTTGGAATAACATTTTGACAAAAATTGTCTCCTTATTGCAAATGCTTTTGAATCTATTATGTGGAAATCGAACAACATATAGCTTTTGTTCTATGCTATATGTTAAATATGGCTTAACCTATAACAACCTTAGAATAGCTATAGATGGTTTAGTCTTATCCAAAATTAAAAAATCTTAACTGAAATCACAAAATCAAAGGTCAAAAGAATTGTCATTCCAACATCGCTTCAACCATTAGTTTTTCCATCAAGATAGAATGAAGCAGAGAGGACATACACTAATTTACAATATGACAGATGTACACACTTATGGCCGGTTTCTGAAACATTAGATATCTGTCCAATAGACTTATCAAACTGATAACTAGAGAAATTTTGTTTCTGAAACATTCAACAAAAGTTATCCATTCTATAAGTTATCAAATAGATATCTTGCCACTTTGGTGAGATATATATTCGGTAAGTATCTGACGTATGCGTTCATAATTTGACATTTCAAATAAATATATTTATTATTTTTTCTCGAATACCAAAAAAATAACAAATTAAACTCAAAATAATGGAGTATACAAGCTCTTTGGAATCTTCTGATGAAGAAATATTAGCAATTATTCAAATGATAGGCGTTGTTCACCATTTTCGGGTTAGAAATGATCCATTTGAAGAATATAGTGACAACATACTATTAACTACTTGGTTGAATTAATTAACGACCATATTCATCCTATGACTCAGTGAAATCGTTCTTTATCTACTAGAGAACTGTGAGAATTGTAAGTCTATCTAGTGAGATATGTCAAAACTAGTTAAATGACTAATAACTATCGAGCGATAGTTATCCATAGATAAGTTTTCAGAAACGCTTTATGATTTATTGGACACATAACTTCATCTGACCGATAGTTATTCTTTCAATAACAAAATGTATGAGAAACTTGCCATTAGTGGACTAGTTTTAATGCAAAATATCTCTAAAAATGTGTATAAAGAAGTGTATTAAATAAAGAATCATCCAGTTGTCCAATAAAGAGTTCATTTTGGAAAAGACTACGCTGAGGAAGAAAATATTTTTATTAAATGACATTATTTCAAAAAAAAATGTACCCCATGAATCCAGCAAGCTTGGATGCAAAGGTTGTGTTTAAAAATGTTTCTGAATAGAAGGTTTATTTCTACAAAACACTCTGTGTGATTTAAACTATTAACAGAAGTATATTTTTAAGAATACCTATCGAATTTCTGGTAAAAACCATTTATTTATTATAAACTGGTTCTTATCAGAAATCGAACCCATATAGCTAACTATAAAAATATATAGTACAATTATTTTCATATGATAAAGAACGATGTCTATAAAGGAACACAAAATGTGGAAAATTCGGAGTAACGTGGTACACAGTAGAAGAGATTTTAACATTTTAAGTTTAACTATTCATGTTTTTGTATTTTAGTAATATAGTTATTGTTGTTAATATTATTTGTGTGTCTGTAAATACGAATGAATGTGTTCATACAGAATTTATGACATGTTTTTCTCAAAAGAAAAGAAAAATTATCAACTAAATTTTAAACTATACCCACTAAGAAGTATTGTTGTTACAATCCTGCCATTTTTAGAACGTATTTTAAGGAAAACAAGTCAAAAATTCCCAATTTCGAAAACCTTAGCACAAATACTAGAATTTGAAACAGATATGGGTGTTGATAAAAAAGATTTATTGGAATAATAAAACATATTATTTGCAGCATTTGGTATTTATTTAAAAACCATTATTATATAATATTGGAAAATAATACTATTTATTATTCCTGTTGAGTGAATATTTTTTTATTCTAGATAAATGACGTCCCTGTATAGTTCGTGTATGTATAATAAAAAGAATTGCAGCTTTTTATGCTTATTATGTATAGAAGTTTAGACTGTACATTTTGCATCTCAGCGAATATAAACTGACACTTTTATAATTATTATTACTATATGTTTCAGAATTAATTTTATTGTTTTCCCTGTATAATATGTATAAATTAACATTTCATTTGTATACCATGCCACATAGCATTAATATAATTTGTGATGTTCACAATGCAGAGTTTTATTTCCTATTTCCTCTAAAACCTAAGTTACTATCAATAGAAAACCAAAACAATTAATGAAAGAAATAATGCAAAAACAATTTACTTACCAAATTCTCCTGGCATTTACAAGCTACTATTAAAACTAGAGGTACTAGAAGATCTTGAATTTGTTTAAGAAAACACAACTTTTATTCTATCAACGGACAAGTTTTTAGTTTTGCAAATTCAAATTATTCAAAAGTCTTCATGTTCCTGACTTCACGTCATGTCACTCACATATTAACAGTGTTGCCAGCTAGATAAAAAAGTTCATTTGAAAATTTGCAGAATTTTAATTAAATTGAATGAAACTAAAAATATGAGTAAAACCAGGCATCAAATCCAGGGCCGTCAAGGGGGGGTGGGGGAATAAAGGGGGAATAGGGCCAGAGCTCAAGTGGGGGCCCGGCAACTTTGGTGAGGACCTTTTTTTTTTTAGAGATATTCAGCAAAGAGGAGTTTTGCTTGAAGATCTTTTTTTTTTTAGAGAAATTCAAGTAAAGAGGAGGAGAAGTTTTTGCTTGAAGACCTTTTTTTTTAGAGACATTCAGTAAAGAGGAGGAGAAGGTTTTTTTTTAGAGAGAGGTAAAGAGGAGGAGAAGGTTTGGCTGGAAGACTTTTTTTTAGAAATGTGATATTAAAAAGGGCATAATTTTTTATAAAATTGTCGCGAGGCCCGAGCTGGAAAAATGTCCTGGGGCCCGACCTGGCTCTCGGCGGCCCTGATCAAATCCCAATACATAGAAAACTAGTTTGATAATAAACTATTTATTTTGTGATGGCAAACTTATTGATAGATAACTTCAACTTCTTATGTAATATAGTACCTACTAGGTATATTACCGAATGTACTTGTAGTCTTGCAAAAGTAAATCTGGCACCGCGGAGATAAAGTCCAATTTCGGTGAGTTTCGGTATTCACGTGTTCTGTGACCGAATTTTTTTTCGAAAAATGTTCAGACTAAGTGAAACAAAAACAGTTTTTTCTTAAATTAGTTGTTAAAAGTACGTATTAACATATAGAGTCGAAAGTTTGTGAATTTTTCTTTGTGTAATCTTATCGAAATAAAGTAGCATCTGTTTTTGCTCCTGTAGCTCTCGCGTAAGACGGCATTGGATATCTTCCCGTAATGTTTTTAACCCGACTTTTAATCATTTAATTAAAATAAGTGTTATAAAGTGTCCGATGGTGACGCGTTGTTGATCCGTTACAAGCCTGCATGCTGTCTGTATTCCAAGCTGTAAGTACAATAATTTTTATAAAACAAGAATAGTGTGGAAGCTATTATCCGTTTTTCAATTTTCGAAGAACAATAAATTAAGACAAAAATGTTTAAATGTAACTCCTAAGATTAACTTTAATTTCTTCAAAAACTGCAGTAGTAGGTTGTAAACGGGTCCCGACGACTTTAGGGACAGTGGAATTTTAAAGAAATTTATTTTTTATCAGAAAGAGCGTATTTTAAGTACATTTAAAAAAAAAATTGGGGTAAATGTATTATTTAAGCAAAAAAAAAATTATTTAATTTCTATAAAAATCAGCATTTTGACGACAGTAAACATCGAAACCATGGAGGTAGAATGTAGGGAGACGCTGTCACGTAGTCCAAGACGGGTTCACTTCCGCCATATTAGATTGACAAATACTTCAAACAGCTAATCGTGGTTTCAATGAACGGTTTTTCAATTTTTATGTCGTTTGCAAACTATATATTGTACATATTAAAAATTAAACATTGGTCGCTTGTGCTAAACGTATTTTAAGCAACCTAATAAATATTTATATGAAGAAATGATCTGAAATAACATTACACAACTAAATATACAACATAGTAAACAATGTGCAGGGTCGTATTTGAGATATTTATTGTGCTTTGAGTGAAAGTGTTGTAACCATATTAGGGTTTTGTAAAGATGAATTAAAAATAAGAGAATTTGTTGCAGTTGGTGCAAAAATTAGATTTAAAATAATCATAAATATTCTCTTTGTTATCTTAAATTCTATAAATTTACTTCAGTTTCATTATAAAAAGCATTTGTCTTTAAAAAAATATAAAAATATAGAAACTTCTTTAAATGACATGGATAAGTATATTTCTTCCAACACTCTACAGTTTTTACCAATGTATAAAATATCTCAAGACCACATAGAATTATTATTTGGCTGCATTCGCTCACATGGAGGCCACAACAATAACCCCACCGCCCGACAATTTCAGGCAGCTTATAAGAAAATATTAGTACATGTCGAAGTACGTGAAAGTTTTCGTGAAAATTGTATTCCGCTAGAAGAGCTCCGAATTTTAAAATGTCCCGTTCAACAAATTAACGAATCTTCAAGAGACTACAGGGCTCTTGGTTTATCAGAAAATTACTACAGTGTGCTAGATAATACTGAGCATGATCATGATTATTTACCAAACCCTACGCTATCGGAATTTACAAAATATATTGTAACGTATATTGCTGGCTATACTATATTCTCTTAAAAAAAAAGCTTATTTGTGAGGAATGCGTAAATTCTTTATGTGCAGACCAGAAAGACCTACAAATATTTTCATTTATAGACAAAAAAAATAAAAAGAGCCTACAGTATCCCTCTGTGGATGTGATAGACGTTTGTCTGCAATGTGAAGAAATACTCAAAAAGAGAACTGTTAGTTCAAATTATCATCTTAATTTTGTAGACTCTATTGTATCTTCAGTGTTAAAGTCATTTATAAATAAAAATATATTTGCAAATTTGATAGCCCACGGTTTTGATCAGGATCCATTGGATAACCATAGAGTTCTGTTAATAAAAGCTTTAGCTACCAAATACACAAACATTAGGATGTGTTACCTTATTAAAAGTAAAATAAAAAAATGTGATAGCATAAGACATCACAATAATAAAATTGTATTGTTTAAGGGTCAATAAACATAATTTTTATATTGGATATTGATTTTGCCGTAATATATTTTCTATTAATACCTTAACAACTGTTTGATTATTTTATGTTAAACCGTAACTGATAAACCGTGACATATAAAAGGAAATAAGGAATTTTTATTTATTTTTTTTAACTATGTTACAGAAAGTCTCCTTTTGCATTTTAATAATTTCTTAATACTTTTATTAAAACTGTTAATAATTATCCGTTTTATGACAATTAATTTGTAACTTACAATTAATTAAAAAAGCAAATTAGGGTTTGAGATGCATTACCAATAGTCCGGCCCTGGCAGAACGGCCATATTGGAATGACTGTCACCACGACTAAGTGATACCGTTTTGAATGTTTGAAAAAGATGCTCATAGCGTCTCCCTACCTTCTACCTCCATGATCGAAACATTCAAAACTCGATGGTTTCTGTCAAATTTGGAAAATATAATTGCAACGTTGCCGGATTGTGATAAAATTAGTAGTTAATGGAAAATTGTGATTGCGCATACCGGTCCATAAATATGCAACAAGAAAACGAAGCAACGACTTCTCGTAGGGTAGCGGCTTTGCCGCCACCAAAAAACATTAGCCCATACCTGACTACGCCGACCGGCATAGACTCCAACGGCCTGGACACAGCTCAAATTGAATTGAAAACGTAAACTTTTTCACATAATTTCTTGCGATTGCGCATACGTCCATAAATATGCAACAAGAAAACGAAGCAACGACTTATCGTAGGGTGACGGCTTCGCCGCCACCAAAAAACATCAACCCATACCTGGCTACGCCGACCGGCATAGACTCCAACGGCCTGGACACAGCTCAAATTGAATAATTGAAATGAAAAGTCTCAAATAAACACATTTATATTCTGGTTTTATCATGGCCTGGAGCTATTGAAAAAACAGCCAGTGTGTCATTCCTGTTATGTACGTTCTTTTACTATGCTTGACAACACCACATTTATAGAAATACAAATGTCAATTGTCATATTATTCATAAACAAAAAATAATATAGAACGGTATTACCATGAATATATTTATTTAGAACAAATAACAAAAAGCAATTCGCAACATCGCTAAAATAACGCACAGGCGCTCTTAGTGTGACTGTCAAATCGAAAAAATTAAAAACAATATTAGGCATTCCAACGACCTGTCCAAATGGCTACCAGTGGGTAATGACAGTTTAGATATGGCAACCCTGTTGTCATGTTGTTATTAACAGGGTCAATGATACATATATAGTTATATAGATTGTTCAAAGCTGGTCGTTTATGAACGGCCATATTGGATGATGAATCTATGTAACTATCTATTTCATTGAACTTGTCAAATCACCAGGCCTACAGGGTTGCCATAATTTTGCCATATCATAACCAGTCAGAACCCACTGGTAGTCATTCAGTTTGGAATGCCTAATTGCTACATGAGAATGTCGTGAATAAATGCATATTTTTAATTTTTTAGCTTACAAATGTGCTTTAATAATATTTGTTGCTTTAATTAGGTTAGTGCACACTTATAGAAGATTAAAAAGTGTAAAAATATTATGGTTTTACTTAATCTTTATGGAAAATGTGACAAAATTACTGTTTCTAATATCGTCCTTAGCCCAATTTTAAATTAGTTGAAAATCTTAAAATCTGTTTATACTAGGCTAAATTAGATAAGTAAGTATTTTACCTCACTTCATAGCGCCTAAACGTGATGTTTTAACTCTTTGCGATGTTGCCTTTGTTTGTTCATGGCTAGAAATAGTCGGTTGACTCATAATGCTGGAAAGTCAAAAGTCAGAAAACCTTTGCAGGCACACACTTTGATTACTATAGGCACGAAGTATAGATACCAGGAGTTCGATCGTAATGTTGAATGAATGGCATCAATTTGGGGGACAGAATTTTTGCCGGTAGGGCGCGCCACTTTTGAAGAAGTACCTACTCGTTTAATTAATTATTATTTGAAAATTAAACAAATTTATTAATCAAGCATTTGTTAAAAACACATTTTTAATATTCTTTAGAGGTTCACTCTCGGTGCTTTGAATAAAGCCACTTTTCCTAAATTCTCATTTGCCTTTCGGTACGTCCTGAATATTTGCGCAGCCAGTGGCAGAAAAAAGAACTAAGATCTGGGTTTAATATTTTTGTATATGAATCCTACAAAAAAGCCTATACCGTTCGGACTCCTGGTATCTATACTTCGTGACTATACGGTGCAAGAGAGACGTCCGACACGCCCGACATAGGGCGCGGCCATTTTGACCCAACTGGGATTTTGATGCAATTACTACTAGGTTAGGCAACACATTTTTCCAAAATGTTAAACTGGTATCCTACAACTTGGTATTTTGAGATTTTAAATGAAGGCAATAAATGTAGAAGAAACGCTTATTTATTTTAAATAATATACAAGAAACTTCTTTGAAGTAAAGTTATAATTGCGAGTGCATCTTGAAATAGAGGTGAGTGGTTTTAATTTATTTCTAAAGCATTGTATATGATTTTACCTTAATATTATGATATTTTTCGCCAGTCCCATGCTCATGAACAAACATTTTATTTTTGTAATGTAATAAAAATCTTTGAGGCTAAACAATCTAATATTATAATTTGCATTTTTTCAGCTGTAAATATATGGTACGAAACTATAAAATAAAAACAAAGAAATGGGAGATTAAAGAAGCTTTAACTAAAAGATATTACCAGAGGAATATACTCTTGCAGGCAAGCTGCAAAAGATAGTTGGTTTTTATCTTATAATTTATCTGAGACAGACACGTCGAATTTGTATAACAGTTATTTTTTTAAATTAGTTACATATGTAGTTGTTAAATTTTTAACTAAAACAGATGTATTTTTCATCTACAAATGAGTCTTCTTTCAGTTGTTACACAGTAAGAAATTGCTGAACATTTTCTATTCAAAAAAATACCCCTATGGTTATTACTGCCACCACCTCCACCAATATTCTCGTTTTCAAAGATTACACAAGTTTGTTAATTGTATTAACATTAGATTGTCAGTATACATTTTCAAAACTCTTGCATATCTCCCTACTTTCTGCTCCTATAGCAATCGATGGTTTAGCTATGCCTTTCTTAATCCGTCTACTTAATATTGTAAAAAGGATGTCGACATATGGTGGCTCTTAAAGACGTTTTTGTTACTTTTATGATTCCTGTGTATGTCTAACATACAAACTCAACGTACCTGGATCAGTGGTACTTTTACTTCTCATAAATTTCCATTTATCCGACATTGTTACACAGTTTACTGTACCAAATAAAAAAATTAAATATTACAGGTCATTTTCTAACAGTTCTAGATAAACTATTTAGCAGAGGGGGCTATTTTCTTAGTAAGGCTATGGACTACCTTTACTTTCAGGTGTGTTGATAAACCAGAGGTAGTAAACCTGAAATAAATAAAAACAATTATTATCATATAAATGTTCCAAAAAGTAAACAATATTCTTATTACATGTTTATTTATTTTATTTCATTTAATTTTAATACTGCTCCTATCTATTGAAGTAAATGATTTAATTTTCTTGGTATTTCTTCTACAAAGAATTGTTTCATGATTGATCACATACCTTTTTTACATTAGAGCAATAGGCATTTCCCTCAAAATGCTGAGAACAGACATAAACATAACAGAGTTTAGCTAAAAATAATTTCTAAACAATTTGATTAATGGTTTGTAAACAGTGTTTAAGTTAAGTGCTGGAAATTCCTAGGAGACTTGAAAAATAAAAAGCATTTAGAATAGAACAATAGGAACATAATTAAAGTAGTTACTGTTACTTACTAATGGAAAGATTTATCATAAAATCACCAAGTAAAGCAAGGTTTTCAAGATATTCAATATGTGTTAATTGTTTTGTAAAGTGTAGGTTCGTAAATAATATCTTTGGGGACTGACTTTGGATAAATATTATAACATAACCACTAAAACTATTGCGTCAAGATGTAGGCAACACGTAATAAGTGTTCAAGTGCTCCATGTGGTGCGTTTGATTTGATCATCGGAGATCTCCGAGCGCTACAAACGTGTGAATTGACACTCCGAGAGATCGGAGAGATCCTTAAAGTGTTTGTTTTGCTTTGGAGCGAGAACATAGAGCGAGCTCGATGTTCTCAGAGCAGAAGGATCGAGAAGAGGGAGAAATTTGTCTTTGTCTCTACCTATCTCTTTTTAATTAACCTACAAACAAAATTGAACCTCAAAATTAAAGATTCGACAAGAAGTCAATAAAATAGTTAGCTGCTTTTGTCTTATATCTAAAATTATTCGTCATAAAAAAAACAGAATGTGTGTTTGGAAAATACATTTTTTCTGTCCAAATCTAATCACCAGTAATCACAGTCATGGAGTATAAAAGCGAAGCGGGCATTTGTGGTATATGCTGCATTTCAGGACCATTACCCCTTACTATTAAAAGTTTTTCTATTTTCTTTACTTTTTGCTCACTATTTTGACACACAAACCAGAAACAAGAATCACAAAAAAGCGAGGTTATGTTTTTTACTCTGTTTTATTTGATTTGACTCAATGCTCTATTGAGACGTCATCACTTCTCGGTCTCCTCGACGCTCGCTCGATCGAGTTTCAAATCAAACGCCCCTATGGTATGTGGTTTGCAGGTATCTCATGACATATTTATAGCAATATAGGTCCTTTTAGACGATCATGTCAGTTCTCATTTCAGTTGCAGTAATCAAAGTATGTGGTAATAATCTTTCCTCCATGGTATGTGGTTGCAGTTCAGATGTGACGCTGTCTTTGTAGACGATCAGTTTGAGTTTTCATTATTTGTCGTACAATCGAAGTATGTAGTCGTACCTACCACATACTTTCATTGTAATCAAAGTATGTGAGTCGTACACATCAGTGATGGATGAAGATTTAGTAACTGGGATCGCCTTATGCTTAGTACTAGAGAAAGTATAATAAAAAATAAATGGAGCAAAATTGGCTCATAGAAAGAAAATTACTGTCTCTTGTTAAGTTAATAAAGAAACTTCATTTTGAATCTTGTGACTGGCCATACTACTAACAGATGAGTAAGAATGCATATCGAGAATTATAAAAAAGCGACATGAGAGAACCTAAATCACCACACGAGAGATTAAGTGCAACCCTCAGACTTTTGGCAACTGGGTGTATTTTCCAAAGTCTTAGATTTCCTGCTGTAATTTTAGCTGCTAGTTGAAGTGTCATATTACCTGAAACTGGTAAAGTTATAAAAGTACTAAAGTACTGTACAGTAAGTGAAGTACTTTTGTCGATAAAGATCAATAAATTTTATCAGAAAGTCTTGTTTAGACAGCAATATTTACTAGTTCTGTCGACAAATCTTCTGCAAATAATGAGACGTGAACTGACAAGTTTGTTTAGAGATCATTTAAACTGATAACTGTACTTAAACTTTTGGCAAATCCATCGAGCCACAGCTCAGTTTCAGTTTTTCTTTAATTTTTTTTGTGTTTACACATACATATAACTAACAACTGAAACTGAACTGAGAACTGATATAATCATCTAAAAGGACCATAAAAGAGCGAGAACAAATTACTTTCTTAATTTTAACTATTAGTTATAGAAATATTAAAAATATACGACATACCTATAAACTACACCAACTAACCAGAAAATTAGAAAATACATTGATCTACTGTTAAAACAAACATTCTGGCAACACTGTTAAACACTTATAAAGTTACAGGATTCTACTTTAATAATTTCTCTTAAATTTATAAATTATACAACTCTTCAATAGATGGCGATACATGTATTATTTCAAGATTAAAATTTGTTTCATTGGATATTTTGTTTCAAAATTATCGTTTATCGTTTATAACATTGTATAATATAGTAATAATAATATAGTCGATTTTGTTAAAATTATAAAAATATAATCGTATTATCATATCTCTTATAAATAGGGCATCTATCTTTATGAGGAGTAGGTACCTACTTATTTATATTTACCTATAAAAATTAATACCCTAAATAGAGGCCACTATTTTGTATGTTGATGCTTCCTTCCTTTATTTTAAAAAAAAACGGTATTTTATTTTAAATACGTCTTTATTGACAATTCAAAAAATAATTATACAAAATCGTAAATAGATATATACAGTTTAGTTTAAAAATAAAGATTGATCCACAAAAATGTTTCTAAAGCAAGCCATTACCGACAAAGACAGAGATATACGAGTCAGGTCCGTGATAACTACCAATTGATACTTAAAAAGAAGAAGTATTGTACACTCCAACTTGCGTGAATTGGTCCAGAGCCTATTTTCGAAACAAATTTTGTTGATCACTCCGTTTATATTACAGATTAGTATTTATAACCCTGACTGTCTTGTACAGTTGCAAATTTAGGAGCATTGTATTGATTTTGTACTTCAGACGCAGAGTTCTGTTGCTCTCTTTGGAAATTTCCATTGAATCCATTATTTCCATTACCATTTGGTGTTTGGTATTGGTATCCCTGGCCTTTCTGCAAAGAACCAGAACCAGCAAAGTGACCGCTTACTTGACTAGGAGAAGAACTCTGCTCGGGAAAGGTGGATTTCTGGTTGAAACCATTATTGTTAGCCCCAAATTGACTCTTTGGTTGTTCAAAAGGTTTTAGTGCTCCGAAAGCAGATGGACCCTGTGCAGTTGAGCTGGATTTCTGGTTGAAACCATTATTGTTGGCCCCAAATTGATTCTTTGGTTGTTCAAAAGGTTTTAGTGCTCCAAAAGCAGATGGAGCCTGTGCAGTTGAGCTGGATTTCTGGTTGAAACCATTAGTAGGAGCTCCATATTGACTCTTTGGCTCTTCGAAAGAGGTTTGTGCTCCAAAAGGTGAAGGTGCTACTTGATTGCTATCTTGAGATGCGAATGTACCTTGGTCAGAGGGTGATGAATATTGGTAACCGGGTTTTTGCTGACCGAAGGAAGGTTTGGGTCCTTGGAAGGAGCCGAAAGGTGCTACTTGTTTGTTGTCTTGTGAAGCAAACGATGTTTGTTCGGGGAAACTGGTTTTGGCGGGTCCAGAGTGTTGGTAACCATTGTTTTGTTGTCCAAATTGGTTTTTCTGGACTCCCGGGTAACCGTTTTGCTGGGCTGTGTGGTCTTCTTCCTTGTAAGATCCTTCGTTGTATTCCCCACGAGCTTCAGCGGCTTTGTTCAATTCAATGGACTTTAAAATGGCATCGGGAATTTGTGGTACATGAGATCCTTTTGGTACGAATCCGTTTTCGTCGGCTGTGTATTCAATAGTGACTTTTTCTCCTTCTGGGGAAGTGTAAGAGAAACCTCCATGAGCAGCTTTGCCGCTTTCTTGTACAAAACCTTCTTCTTGGGCGTTGATGCCGTTTTCGGTTTCGTATACGTAGCTATAATGACCGTCTCCACCATCAGGATTAAACTCAGATTTGATCAATCCAATTTGAGCATCTTGGTTGCCTTGGAAACTTGAATATTGTCCACTTGAATATTGTCCATCTGGTTGAGAATATTGTCCATTGTTTTGAGAGTATTGGCCGTTAGATTGAGAATATTTAGGCTGCGAGAATTGGTTACCGAAACCATTGGAGGATCCAGAGAATTGTCCTTGAGTGGGGTTTTTGAATTGACCAAAAGAGTTGGAAGAAGCTCCGCTAGCGTCTTTGTTAGATGGAGTCAAATATTGTTTGTTGGGGCTTGAAAAATCGTTATTGTTGAACTGTTTTGGCTGTGAGAACTGTCCAAATTGAGTCGAAGATGGACTAGACTGTTCAGAAGCTTTATTAGGAGAAGAAGGGATTGAAAATCCGTTGTTGTTGAATTGTTTATCTGCAGAAAAACCGTTGTTAGATTTAGGTTGGGACAATTGTCCAAATTGGCTTGAAGACTGTCCAGATTGTTCAGATGGCGTCAAATATTGCCTGCTAGGATTGAATCCATTGTTGGACTGCTTGGGCTGCGAAAATTGCCCAAATTGATTGGAAGTTTGGCCAGATTGTTCAGGTGCTTTATTGGGGGCGGAAAACTGAGTATTGGATTGCTGGTGTTGAGAAAATTGTCCAAATTGATTGGAAGGTTGACCAGATTGTTCAGGTTGCTGCGTTTTCGGAGTGAGGTACTGCTTGTTCGGTTGCTGGAAGTTGTTTTGACTGTTGAACTGAGGTTGTTGGAAGGTAGATGGGGTGTATTGTTGTTGGGGTTCGCTTGGAGACGTGAACGGTTGATTGACGGGATTTTTGAAACTTGGATCGATTGGTGGTGGTTGATAGTCGTTGTTGTCGTTGATCGGACCTGGAGGAAGGTATCTGTTGTCCAAACGGTCACCAAAACAGGCGATTACTAAAGCCGAGATTATGAGTATCTGAAATTAAAGATATGGTTATAGATCATATTTTAATAAATATCCTATTAAGTGAAAATATTAACAAAAAAAAGAAGTGAAATTATTTGATGGAAATAAAAATCAACATTAGCAAAGTACCTAAATAGTACAGTTTTAAAGATACGTAGGTACTGTTATTTGAAATCTTGTTTTTATTACAGCAACTAATGAAAATTTGTATTCTTATTATCAAAATCGGACATTAATCATGATAACCTGTCATAACAAACTAAACTTCTCTACCTTTAAGCGATTTTTTCTCAGCCAAGGTATAAAAAGTGGGCCAAACAAATTACATATGTGTAATTGAATTTGTGTTGATATGATGATAAATTATGTGTTATAAAATAACAACAATCATTACTTCAAGCTGTGTCTAACTGGTTATTATTATTAAAACCAATCTTAATTGGGCAAAAAATACGCGAACGATTTCAAAATTGTTTAACAATTCTTCTAAAAATTAAATAGATTTAGAAATTATTTAAAACAAGTCTAAATGACACATTTTTATATTTTTTTATACTATTTATTAATCAGTATTATAATAAGATTGGAATTGAAGATGTTGAAATAAGAAGAGGATTTTTTTCACTAGTGCGATAAGTAAAAAAAAGTTATTTTGGTGAAAAAAGTAACTTTTATATTTCTAATATTAGTGGATAATGTGTACGGTAATAGAAAAAATATTGTATGCAACTCGTGTCTAAAGTCCCTTTTTTGACTCAGTAATTCGTCAAAAAAGAGTAAGTTTACACATTTGTTGCATAAATAACTATTTTGTAATTTAAGTGTAAATGTAAGGGCGTAAAGGCAGGAGACCAAGAAGTCTGTTATCAAACTTCATTCCATTGAGTTTTCCTGTTCAAAAATTGGGGGGGGGGGAGACGTTGAAGAAGGTGATTAGGAGATGAAAGGGGCGATGAAGTAGCCAAGTGTAAAGAGAAAGTGTAAAACAATATACAAAATTGTGCAGTAACTATTTACCATACTTAGGTACTTCAAAAGTTTTAAGCAAATAATATTTTTAACAGCTTCGTTAGGGGGGTGGGTGGCTCAGTGGTAGAGTCTTTGCCTGCGGATCCAAGGGTCCCAGGTTCGAATCCCACCGTTGGCCGGGATTTTTTCATTTAATTTCATTATTTAAAATTAATTCTGATGCCTTGGTAGGATTTTCCACTCGACCATTCACTGTTGGGTTCTAATTAACAGTGCTATTCCTGAAGTGGCGCTGGGAAACAGTAACAAAGCCTACACTGAACACACATGATTGAGAATTTAAACATAAACTAAGACTGGTATATTAGGTGTATAAACCTAGACAATAAATCGAAAAAAAAAAACAGCCTCGTTAAGAGTTTTCTGAAAATACCTAATTTGTAGAAACCAAACCCATTTTTAAATTGTATTTAGGTATTAGATATGACGTTCAGCAGCGCCACCACATCCAATTTCGATACCTATATGATGATGCCTAAATACTTAATTGATATTGCTCCTGGATTTCTGGTGTTTTCATTAATAAACAGTGGACCAAGATTTGGTAAATTATTTATAATATTAAATCTTCTTAATTTACCCCCTTACTAGTAAATTTCAACCCTTGAAGTCGACTGAACTTGCGGGGAAGGGACGGAAATTTATTATTCTTATTATTTGCTGTGGCGCTCTGGGACGACTAAAAGATGTTTGATGGTGCCATTACAGGTGAAGAAAACTAGGAAAACCTCACCCACCATCATCATTTGTATGAAGTATTTAATTTGATCAGTATTCAAAGTAAGCTTGTTAAATTAAAACCATTTTTTAATAGTAAAGTCATCCTGAATTTCTACCATTAATGAATTCCAATTTTTGGACCTGTAAGTTAAGACAGTGTCAACTGCGAAAGTAATAATACTTTCATTTGTGTTTAATTGCATTAAATCGTTTATGTACAAAGTAAACTGAAGCGGCCCAAGTATAGTTCCTCATGGGACTCCATAAGTAACCGTCCTTGCGCCACTAAATATTCCATCATCTACTTTGCATTTGAGTTTCTCCAAAATTGAATTTTGATAGATATAATATTGTATTCTGTAGATGTTGCTTCCATTATTATACTCTTTACACAATAGTTTGTAAAGAGAATTATAGGTTTACTTTTAAGAAACCAAAGTTGTTAATATTGTTCCAATTTTAAAATGTTTTGTAGCAAAATCCGTCTCATCAAATTTTAAACAACTTTTAAAAATGTCTCTCCATCTCTCCGATGCCACGAAGCCTATTGATTTTGAAAAAATCTAAATAAAAAATGGGAGGAGTTAAGGGGGTTGGAATATTAAAAAAAAAAAATCAAATCAAAAACGAAAAGCGATATCACCATGAAATTTTAAGTAAATTCGAGAGACGCGAAAATGGTGGTTCCCACATTATCGAGACTGAGGCCCACAAGAGTAAACTGATTAGCGTAAAAAAACGAGAAATGATTTAACTTGGAACAAAGACCGAAAGCCGAGAAGTATTAGAACGAATATTTTGGTTTGCATTGGCATTGCTTAGGTTAAACCATGTGATGATTTTCACAAGCCTTGATTTTTAAAACCATTCTATAACCCCTTTTGATTAGGGTTTAAAAACTTGTTCGAGCAATTTATCCAATAATAATTGGCCCCTTTACCTCTTAAGCCTGCTCATTTAAAATGTTTGGGCTCCTTACTTCGCCTATTTATATAATAATAATAAAGGACAGAAGGATGAATATTGCAACTATGTTAAAAGAAATAAATTGGCTTTCAGTTCAGAATTATGTTCAGTACATGACTGATATTTATTTATAAAATATAAACAATATAGTACCATCGCATTAGATCTATTAGAAATTCGCAATATTACAACTATAATACAAGAAGCCAATCTGACTTTCATGTACGGCAAGCCATCACTAAAAGTTCCCAAAATACAATTTTTATTAAAGGTTTGCAAAAATTTAATAGACTGCCTACAGAAATTAAAAAAAAAAAACAACAATATTCAAAAGTAACCTCAATTAATACTTGATAAATAAAAAGAACGGATATACTTTCTTGTGATAATACTCTTTAAACTTGCCCTTTTTAAGTATTTCCCTTAATTTATTGTTATTTTACCCCTCGTTTTACCCGCATTTTGAGATCATGTACTTTATTTTAAAAAAATTGCTTGATGTTATGTTAATACTACCTACAGACTTGGCGACTAATTTAGAATAAAAATAGCCTCCTAAATGGCTATGGTTGCAAGTATGAAGGTCGCAACCCGCCTTAGAAATCTCACCTTTACAATCAACAGCTGTTATTTGACAGATCATTGGAGAATGTTTGCAATGTATGGAATGTTAAGAATATTAGACGTTAGGAATGATTGGAATTCGTAAAATTGGTCACTTAAGAAATACATAGGCGGATTTTAAGAAAATTGATATTAAAGTAGTTAGGATGAACCGAAAATTCTGAAAATTAATAGGGTTCTAAGTTAGAAGTAATTATTCAAGAAAATTAGAACCGCAAGTCAATCAGAACTTTTGTTCTAGAGTTATCGTGCTGGCATACATACACAAAGAAATTTTTTTGCATTTTCGGACTCTGAATGATCGGAAACATGAAAGAAAGTTTTAAAAAATGGGGTTAGAAAATTTTTTCGTCTGCACGAATGCAATACTGAGGCCCCATAGAAAGGGCCTCAGTAAAATCAAGCTCTATAATGAGATGAAGCCTATTAATTCTTAAACAAATCTGAATAAAAATGGGTGGAGGGGGTTGAAATATTTAAAAAAACTCAAAAACAAAATATGATATTTTCAGCAAAAATTAAGCGCTATGTAGGGAAGAAACCCATTTTGAGAAAAATCTGATTGAAAATGGGGCGATTAATTAAGGGTTGAAAATAAAAAAAAAAAAATTCAAATCAAAAACGAAAAATAATATCAAATTTTTAGCAAAAACCAAGCCCTATAAGGATTTAAAAAAATCTGGATATAAATGTTAATAAGGGGGTTGAAATATTGACTTAGACACAAAAAACGAAATCTTCAAGAAAAATCAAACTATTGATTTTGAAAAAAATCTGATTGAAAATGGGGGTTAAGGGGGTCTGTTGAACTGTGAAGTGTATAATATAGAATGCCAAGCATTTATATATCGTCATTGTAGTTTTATATATTTTGCCTTATTTGATTGTGAGGTATAATTTCGCAATGAATGTGTGGTATAACTTTTGTAACCCTTTTTTCTCTAAAGCCATATTATTTATCAAAAAATGTGAAATTTATTTAAAAATTTTGTTTGTTTTGATTTTATATATTTTTAAAAAACTCAAAGCCGAGAATTTTGAGGTCCAGTTTTGTCTCTATTTTTATAGAAGTTTGAATATAATTTTTAGATAACGTTTATCATTAAAACTTCTGTTTATGAGGCATAATTTAATTTTTAATTTCTATTACTGTATCTGCTCTTTTGTTATCCCAGCTTGGAGTTTTTTTATTCGATTTTAATGTGTTAATAGCATTGATTTTTTTTTGATACTCTAAATACATAGGTAGGTAATGAAACTGTGTATCCAAGTGTTAGTCAAAATCACCTGAAGATGTTATTCTGTTTAAATAATTTTGACAATCACTATAATGATTGTAGATAGAAGTAAATGAGGAAAAGCTACAATAAACGGGAATAAGTATATTGAATTGTTTTTAAATAAAAATTTTAACCTCTTTTTTTTTAGTTACAGTTTTCATTATTAGAATTTTAACAATTTTTTTTTGGATAAGACACGATTTTGATTGGCAATGTTTTTTTAAAACCGAACCTGGATTTCAAATTTCGTTACTATAATATAAGATGATCTCGCTATTGAAACAACACACAAACGAAAATAATAAAATCTACAGAGTGCTTCCAAAGTTGTTTCAAGAAAAAAATGAACAAAATCGATAAAATTGCAATTAATGTAAATTGGATTTTTCTATGAATCACCCTGTATAAAATGCAAAAAATTCAGAATTATTTATTCATTTTTTGATGTATGATGTATGAAAATTTCCGAAATTCTGGACAATACAAAAATTTATGAAAAATTAAAACGTATGTTTTTTAAAAGGTTAATTTCACAGCTACCCATATATGGGTATCGAAGGGATTACTTATTAATAATATTTAACATAAATTTAAATAATTTCCACTATTTTTTCGACCGTTTGATACAATTTCACTATTTTTCTTTACTAATCACATTTCAAAATCACTTTGTTTTAACACCCACAACTATTTTTAAGAAGTAATAAAAAAAATCTTACTTGTTTCATTTTTGACACAGGATTGATGAACTGTTGATTAGATGTCTATACCTGATATATTTTTAAATTTCGTTTTTATATGTATTGATAGCCGAATATTTGCTCCCACTATTTTTTTTTCTTCTTATTCGATCTTGAACCGATCATCGGTGATGTGATCCTTCTTACCCGCATGATTTTTTGATGTCAAAATCAATGAATTGCCAATTACTTACAGTCAAGGTAACTCTTAACGAGGATGATATGGTCCATCTTAAGACATAGGAAGTGTTTTTGGTTTTAAAATAGTTCAGCGGCGCCCGTAAGTGCCGGAAATAATTTTATTTCAATTTTGGCAACGATATTGGGGGTTGAAGTATGTTTATATTTCCATAAGACAATATTAATTGTATTGGAATATAGTCATATCTGTAATAAATAGGACAACGAAAATATGCACTTAAAAATGGTCTAAATATGTATGCATTTATGCGTTAACAATAGACAAAATATGCAAAATAAAAAGACAGTCATTTTTGATATTTAAATTTTATTATAGACTTTTTAAACATGTGATTTTATATTTCTATCAATTACATCTAATTAATTATTATTATTAGAATGAAAACAGTAAGTTATTAAATATTTTTCAATGTTTTCAATAGTAAAACATTGCCTCCTATCACTTAAAATATGTTTGTACGCCGAAAATGAACGTTCCACTTCACAAGACGTTATAGGTGCATATTTAAATTTTGAATTGAAAAGATTTGAATCCAATTCATTATTAAAGTTGCCAGATAAAACATTATTTATGCCCTCTAATGACTGAAATCCATTATTATTTAGTACAACTGATGTAAATTTTCGTGTAACATTATTTTCCATTAACACAGACTGTTCAATAAAAGATTTTAAATTTTTAACTGTTTGTATGCTTTCAAATAATGCCATACCTCGAGATTCAAGCTTAGTTATGGCTGTGGCTATGCATGTATAATGTGCTTGAATGTGGACAATATGGCTATAAACTATAGGATCGTTAAAAATATCTATGCATTTTTTAATTGCAATTGAGTCTTCTGGGTCAAAGTCGCAGATGACATCTTTAATTTCGTTGACATTTGTCGCAATTAAAAAGTAACACAGTTTAACCAAGTGCCCCATCCTGTTAAAACTGGTTCTGGTGGCAATGGAATTCCTGGCAAACGATCATTATAAAATTGAACCCGAAGAGGAGCTTTTACAAAAACCATTTTAATATTTTTAATTAAATCATTTACGAGTGGAAATTCATTCCTAACCGTCTCAGTCACCTTATTTAAACCATGTGCTAAGCATGTGCAATGGATTAAATTCGGATAAAATATTTTTAAGTTTCCAGCTGCTTTTAACATGTATGCAGCAGCATCAGTGACCATTGATAAAATATTGTTTGTAGGCACTTGTCTAGGTAAATAAAAATTTGTTATCGAATCGTTAATAAATCTGGTTATAGTTAAATTATTTGTTTTGTCTAAAACTTTAACTGAAATTAAATATCCTTTACCAGGGATATTTTCATCTAGTGCGCCTATTATAAAATTTGCAATATAGCGCCCCTGCGTATCAGTTGATTCATCAACCGAAAACCACACAGGTTTATGGCTAATTTCATTTCTTATAGAATTCAATGCGTTATCAAAATTAACTTGGACATATTTTTTGCACAAAACGGAAGAATTAGGTAAATTTGCTTCCTTAAAATAAGTTTTAAAAAAAATTTCTAAACAGGATTATTCAATTTGTGAATTGGAGTACTACAAGATACAAATAAATTGCACAAATCTCTATTAAATTTGTCCTTATGATAAGAAGTGGTTCCTTGGTCTGTTATTAACTGTTGAATCTATCGATTTGGAAGTTGTTTTCTGGATAAGTGACTTGTTGTTCCTAAATGTTGATCCACTTGGAATTTTTTAGTACAGAGAATCTGTAAAAAGAGATCTATCGTCATCGTCAAATATAAAAGAATATTTCTTTAAATCCAAAAATACGTGAATTTTTATATATAAAAATAAAATCTAGATGATTTTCAAAAAATCTGGCTGGTAGAAAGCTTCTGAGTAAAAATAAAAAAACATTTTCTTATTTAAAAAAAAGAAAAACTATTATATTGTTGATTTTTTTAAAAATTAGATGAAATCCGCATAAACAATTTAGTATAGTTCTTATATCATATATTGATTTTATTTCTTTTTACTTCTAAAATAGGATTCAGCTGGGTTTGAAAAAAGTTAATAGTGTGAAAAATACAACAAAAATGTTAGTTATCCTTACCAGTTTATCGCAGGTGGAGCAAAAAACGTGATTACAGTCTACTATTCTCAAATCACTTTTCCATAGATCCATTTCTTTATCATTTGCATTTTTCCCTTAGATTGTTTCGGCATTTTTAAAATGAACGCTTTTACTTTCACACTAACGGTACTTTTTCAGGAACACAACCAATAACAATACTTAACCAAAAGAAATTTTGAATAATACTGAATAAACTACCTGTTACATAAAAACAGATAAATTTTATGAACCCATTTGTTAACAATCATCCCCTAATTGCCCTAATCCTTAATACCTAGTAGTTTAGAAAACAGAATACCTACTTGGTTAATATTTCGTGGTAAAATGCAGGTACAATTGAATAATATTGTATTGGTTACAAAATAATGTTAAATAAGCAATATTTTATTTTTAGATATGCATTATTATTTTATATATAAAATTCTGCACTAAATATGCAGGCATGCACTTTATATGCATTTTGCATATAATCCAAGCTCTAGTAATAAAATCTCATGCATTTGTTGTTACCTTTAGATTTTTACCATCATCCTTTTATAGACAATTATAAATTTCTGTTCTTCTGGACCATTCATGTTAGCATACCAATATCCTCAGGCAGATTTTAATATATTTAACTTATATTTGGAACAAACTAATAATTGGGGGCTTTTTTATACAGTAGGTAGATTGTCGATCTCGATATAATGGTCAATATTTTCTATAATTGCTTTCTTAAAACCACTGACTTATATGTTCCTAAAAAAAAATCAAAGAACCCTAATATCTAAAAAAAAAAAAAACAAAGCATGCACCTTTCTTATGAAAATAGAGTAATTTTTCTACACATGGATATTCATTTACCTACGCACAGACTACAAAACGAAAAAGTATGCTATTGTGTTCAACTGAACGAATATATTTCATATTCTTTCTAGGTAGTGAGAACACTGTAAAACAATGATATCCACCACTCACAGTTCATATTTTCAACAATGTATATTTAATTTTAATAATTAAAAAAAGATACAGACAATTAGTTTGATAGAATTGTCACTTATTTAAAATTTTAAAAATAATAGTAGTTGGGTGTCCAAAATATGAACTGTGATTGGTGAATTTCATTTTTTTGCAGTGTCCTCACTACCTAGAATGGATATGAAATATATTCGTTAAGTTGAACGCAATGACATTTTGGTTTTGTAGTCTGTAGATAAGCAAATATCCAAGTAGGTGTAGAAAAAATGGCTTTCAGTCAAATTTTTTGAAATGTTGATATGTTGTAGAACTCGATGATCTGACAGAAAGTGTCCATTGGCCCAAACAAACAAACAAACAAACAAACAAACAAACAAACAAAACGTCGGAAATGCCACTTTTCTGTAAGCATATTTCTTATAACACACCTATTTTATTCGCCTTTTTGTAGAAAACATGAATTATAGAGTACTTGGCACTAATATTTTATAAAAAGTTGCAGAAATTGGTTAATTACAGGGTGGTTCGGAAATATAAAATGTTTTTTTTAATCATTTTTTATGACAACGTTAAAAATATTAACAATTATCGTTATACCATAACAAGTATTAGAAATTAAAAAAAACGACTTTAAAAACGTGCATATGCCATCACAACATCTTAACCAAATTTATATGGGACCACCCTTGAGGTATCCCTTTACTAACAAAAAAAGAATCATATAAATCGGACAAGGTGGTAAAGCATTATCGCTAAACATACATAAAAAATGAAGAGTTTGAGGATTTTCTCATGGACCCAAATTTTAGATTTTGACCAAATTTATATGGAACCACGCCTGAAGTATCCCCTTTATAACAAAATAAGAATTATCGCTGAACATAAAAAAAAATATTGCGACGAATTGGAAATCTCCGCCTTTTTTGAAATCTGTTAAAAATATAGTTTATATAATTTCTTCTTGATGATACATCATATTTTATACAGGGTGCGTGACTTATAAATGTGATTACAGAGGGCATATATTGTTTTTCGTATTTAACGTATAAACGATTTGTCCTGAATTTTTAATATTATATTAAATAAATGTAAGACCTGTCACTCTATGTCGTACAGGGTGTTAAACCGATTGCAAAAACTTTCAAAATTAGAAATATACAATTTTTTGTGCTACACCATATATTTTAAAAGTATTTTCGTCAACTTTATAAATTATTACAACAAAAGTTCAGTACATAACTGAGTAAAATTTTGTTGTGATCCTATGAGTAGTTTTCCTAATATGTGTATCCAAAATTGCCATGAATAAACAATATTGTTATTATCTATTTTGCTTATCATTAAATATAAACAGGCCTAGCAAGATCAAATCCACAAATCTACTTTGTCTGTATCCAAGCGAAAACATTCGGCGATGGTTTATACATTTTTCCATAAGAAAGATGCCTGATCCTTTAGAATGACTCTGGATATGCTTTCAGACTACAAATCATTTTCTTACATTTGACAGGATGTAAAATACCACATTGATCTATGCTATTATGCTGAACATTTAATTCCTGAAAATGGTACAGCTTTTTGTATTGCTGATGCTTTTGCACCACATTTTGAGTCTTGCTACAGTAACTACAGCACTCTTGACTTAAACCTCTCGGGAACCCGTTAAATTTGGGTGCTTCATTTAATATCTTTCAAGATGACATAAATAAGAAAATATTGAACCTCGATTCTTCCAAAGGTTCTGACTCTATTCTTCTCAAGAAATGTCCTGCTTTATCTGCACCTTTTTGCACACTTTTTCAGAGATCGTTCAACAGAGGCTTATGTCCTGTCCAGATGACAATATTCTAACTGGGTTCGAATTTTTAGGTTCGGGAATAATTCTGATATAAACATCG